CATTGGAGGAATGTGAGCAGGTATGTTAGAGCCTTACCAATTTGTTTCACCAGTTGTTAAGTGTTCATGTACAGTTTTTATTTTTTATGTATTATATGGAACTGTATTTTCAAGTTTGCTTCTCATTGGTAGGCACTTGAAGTCGATGTTGATTGATGTCAAATGATACAGTGGAGTTAGAATATTGATGTTTACAATTTACATCATCATGCTCAATGTTAGTGATGTTTTCATTCTCATTAGTTAGAACTGTTGAGGGTTAAATATTGGCTTTTAGTATTTGAATATATATCCTTTGTTCTTGATGAATTGAGTCGTTAGATGGAATGGTGTGCTTCGCTATCAACTTGAGTTTTTGTTAAAAATTGTTTGGCATAGTTCTTGTGTTGACGCTGAGTTTGGGTATTGATCATGCATACATTAGGTTTCTTCAGGGAATTATTATGGCGTTGGTATTGAGAATCTCTTCCTTTTTGGGGATTACTATAATTTTTGGTGTTAAAGGCACACTTATAACATATTCACATATTTGCATGTTTTGGTGGGGGTGCATGTGTTTATATATATATATATTTGTTTGTTGGTTTGTATATATGTGATCGATTGAACCAAGTAATGTATGTGGATGCACAGAAGTGTTTTGAAACGCATGTATGCGAGTGTTTTGACTAAGTCATGTAAGTATTTTGAGATGTAGGTTGACTGAGCAATTGAGTTTTCTCAATACTATTCTGTTATGACCCTATCTAGGTCCTCACATTTTCTTCTGTTGCCATGTGTTATTGTTATTATAGCTTGCACAAATAATTGGTGAGATCCTTCTTCAAGAATGCGAGGGTCTTGTTACGCCCGCCCATATGGGGAGGTTCACATCAGTCATAAACCTCTAAACCTTTTACAGATTGGGATATTGAAGAACAGGCAGAATTGAGTGGTCTAGAATTAACTGAATGTGTTAATTTTGAAATGGAAGACTACCCAGGTTACAATAATAAGAGGGGAGATGGTGGAAGGTGTGATGAGCCCTTCCCTTTGGGTGTGGCAACCACATTCAAATTTAAAGCTTCAGTAGCTTGTCAATATCATAGCAGATCTTGTAAAAGACCAAGAGTTGATGACATGTTTTCAATTGCTCCTACCGACACCCCACTTGAGGCAATGTATGGTTATGGTATTAGTGGTGATTGATCTCAAGGACCAGGAATTCATTGCCACCAAATAGTGAATTCTTATAAAAGACGAAGAATTGATGGAGAACACTCAAGAGCTCCCATTCAGATGCCAGTGCAAAATTATGACTATAGAAGGTTTTTATCTGAACAGCCAAGAATTGCTCACCAATGTCAAACTGGTTTGGATAATATGAACTTGCCCATTAGTATTCCTTGTGAGAAATCCATGGTTTCAAATCACAGATCTGTGTACCAGACGAGCTTTAATGGGTTGCCTTTGCCTACTAACATTTCTATCAAGGCTTCCCAGACATACTTGGAAATGGAATAGCTCATACTCGACAGAATTGTTATCACTTTTGTCAAGATCACGGTCTTTTGTTAGAAATTTCAAAATACCCTTGTGGGGGAACAGGCAAAACAGTAGGAGAGATAGTAACTGAAATTAGTGATGGTTACTTTTATGAGGTGTCGATCACGGTTATGGAAGGCTTGTTCATGAAATATTGAGAGCTTATCATGGTGGTAATGGCAGTTGAGTTCCAGCTGCTAACTTTTTCAGCTTCTTTTCTTCTTCTTTCTCTGTAAAATACAGCTTGATATGAATTGTCCAACTCAAATGGGCCGAATCAGAATCGGGCCCATGCGAGTTGTCGACTGCATCTGACTTTTGGAACACTTGAAAAGACACATCGGATATTTTCATAATTTTGGTTCTCTACATTTCAATGTCATCTTGTTCATGCCTTTTTATATTTTTTGGGTGAGTCAGTGGGCAGAGGGCTATAGGGTGCACAACATTTTGTTTCTTCCTTTTTTTGTGTTGAAATATTGATACTAGTGTTTGTGGATATCTTTGACGTTACCATGCATTTGGATTTGGTCCGAAGCTCTTTGTTCTCTACATTGTAACGTTTCCTTGCAATGTGATCTTTTCTTCTTCTTCTTTTTAATGTCGTTATTGTTATTTTCATTTCATTTACGAATATATTTGATATATGGAAAGGGTGTGGTTTGTATCAGGTGTCAACCTTAAACAATGAGGCGCACCTTAACTCTTCTTGAAAGATGGAATTTGGATGCCATAAATTCTTATAATGGCTTAAATATTTATTTTCAACCCTAATTATGAAATTTAAAACTCGAACAATGATGTCGAATAAATTTTATATGTGAAATCGGGTGGTTCAGGGTGTGTCATTGATTGGTTTCAAAGTCTAAATATGTGATTCACTTTAAATTGGATTTTATATCCAATGGCTAAAGGTGATTTTGCCCTCCTTATATCAAAATCAAAGTGATTGGTTATGCACTATAGAATCCCATCTTGACATATTAAATTTGCCTAATAATCAATTTTAATTAAGCTGCAGTACCACAAAAGTTGCACTCGATCTTGAAATGTTAAATTTTCCAAATAATCAATTTTAATAAAGCTGCAGTACCACGAAAGTTGCACCTATGATATTTGCCTGTTGCCTTGTCAAAGCAAATTCGGTGCAATTCTTGAAGAATTCCCTAACAGAACCTGCTGGATCCAACGAAACTGCTCAATTTTTATGCTTTTGGGAACCTTTCTTGATGATTCCCGATTAAGATCGGGCAATTTTGATTAGGCCAAGTGATTTTTTAACTGCTAATTACATTAATAGCTAGATGATTCTTAATATAGATTGGATGATTCTGACCTGACCCATTTATTTTGTAAACATGGATTACATCAATAGCAATAGCCGTTATACTATTTTATTTCAATTGATTCAATGTGAACACTTACTATTGACAAATGAAAAATATCAGAGAAGGCAGGTGACCTTTTGTGCTTCACTGAATTTCTCTCGCTTATTGACAAAATGCATTCTCTCCTGAATCTCATTCGCCCTTTACGAAATCTCTTTCAAACCACCAGGAGTAACCCTCCATCTTCCTCCTTGTAAAATGGAATTAAAGACCTTGGTAATTGCATAATCTTTATTATTCATTCTCCATGCCTAGGTCCATATTTTCTTGGAAAATGGAGAAATTGGGCTGAATTTTGTATGTAATCCATAGCCATCAGACACTCCATGCCCGCAACACCCGCTCTGGAGGTTTACAGACAGAGAATAAGTGGGTTGTTGTTGCAATGGAAGGAGAGACGAGAGTTGCAGATGTGAAGAAAATAAAGCATTATTGGAGCTCCCACAAGATTCTTCTAGTGGGAGAAGGGGACTTCTCATTTTCACTCTCCTTGGCAAGAGCTTTTGGCTCTGGAGCTAATATGGTTGCAACTTCTCATGATACCAGAGGTATAATATGAAGATATCACATTGTTTTTTTTTTTTTATTTTATCTTTTTTTCTTTTTTAACCTAAGAGACAATGTTTGATCTTAGAGAGAGAGAGAGCAATCTCAAGCTGAAATGAGATTATTAGAAAGTTAACTTTCACTGAAATTTTCAAGCCATGTATGCTGCATGTCACATAGAAATGTTGGAAACGAAGCATGAAACAGCAGTTGGTAATGTTGAGGAGATAGAGAAGTTGGGGTGCCTGGTTTTGCATGGAATCGACGCATCTGAGATGAGCGAGAATGAGGTCTTAAAGCCAATGAAGTTTGATCGAATTGTGTTCAACTTCCCTCATGCTGGCTATCACACTAGGTGGGAGCATCAAAAGTACCAAATCAAGTAAGAAAATGGATGCTTTCTCTCTCTCTACTTAGCTTAACCAGCCACAAAGGAACATAAGTGAAGGCCTTAGCCTTCTGAATGAAGTTTCCTTTTATTTAGGGAAGCATTGTAAATATTTTCAATATTGAAATGGCATTTTTCGACATTATTTGAGGATGCGCCTTACTTTGATTGTTTAAAGTTTGAGCCTTGTACAAACCATACCCTTTATGAAAATACCCACTGGATATGAGCTATTATTATGTTGCTTGTATCCTTTGATTTTATTTCAAAATACTCATGAAAAAATATATGATCATGAGATGGGATAGTTGCAAATATATATAATGTTAAATAATGCATCTCTCGTTGGTGTTTTGATAAATTTTTATTTCTTTTATAATACGAATTTGGAGAGAATGAACTTTATAGGCAGGATTGCCAAGGGAATAAACATGGGCCAGGCTCTGGCAACTTTTTTGGGTTTGGCCTGGCCTGGCCTATGGTAGGCTGTGCTGGGACCTATTTTTAGTGACATGTGTAGTGGTTGTTTTTGGTAGCATGTATAGTGACTGAGCCCAACGTCCCATGAATATGAATTTGGCATTACTTCTTTTTTCTTGTTTTATATTTTATTAGATATTTATTAAATTATCTGTGAGAGATGAATAATTTAATACGTTACTCATATTTTTTTATTTAATTTTGAAATACCCAATCTTGAGTTGGAATAGTTGCAATGGTAGAATGTTAAATAGTTCATTTATTGTGGGTATCTTCATAAAGTCCCCCCCTTTTTTTTTTAATATAAATTCAATCCACAAATATGAAATTTGAGGTGCAAAATAATCAAAATCGGAAAAGAATCCGGGCTGAATTGGTTAAGGCTTGACAATTTGCAACATTGTGTCCTATGGTCAATTCCTACCAAAAGTAAGGATCCTCTCCACATTGACTCACTAAAAAATAAATAAATAAAAAATCAAAATAAGGTGTAGTCACTTGAACTATCAGAAATAATTCAAATAAAAATCGATCAAATACCTTTGAATGTTTAGGGTTATTTTTTTTGACCCATTTATTTTGTTTGAAATACTTTATATTTATTAGATGCATTTTATTTAGATTATTCTACCCTTCAAATTTCATATGGATTGAGTTTCTAAAAATAATAAAATTAAAATATGAAATTAATTTGTTGCCATCTAGTCCAAATGCAATTTGAGTTGTGGGGCCTATCACAATTTGGGTGAGCAGAGTGATTCCTTGAACATATTCTTGCTAGGCCAAGCCTAACCCATTAGGCATGACAATGGGCCAGGCAGTGTCCCCAGTTTCAAATCATTCTAAAAGTAATACTTTTATAAAAAAAGAACTTTTTTTTTAAGGATTCGCTTTCTACGAGTCCACATGTATACTCTAACATGTACATCATGAAGATGAATAAATTAATAAATTTTAAAAATTAAAATAATAAAGCTATTAAGAAAATATTTGGACCATTAATTTCAAATGTTTTTAGATGGACCACCTATTTGCATCCATCAAGATGAATGCTTTATACCTCGGAAACTACAAATGTAGAAATACGGTTCCCGCCATATGAAACAGTTTTCTTTTTTTTTATTATAATTTCTGATTGTTATAGGTGATTCCCTAGTTGTGGAGAAAATCTGACTGGCTACCTACACGTTTTGGTCCGACTTAAGTGGTACCGGTTCGATCCAATGATTTTTTAAACACTGATTTTGAATAAAAAGAAAGAAATGACAAAATGGTTTTGTCACAATTCTTGAACAGGCTTCACAGGCGAGTGGTGAAGGGGTTCTTTAAGAATGCAGGGCTCATGCTTGAGAAAAATGGAGAAACCCATATCACCCACAAAATTGCATACCCCTTTTGCAAGTGGAAGGTAGAGAAACTAGCTCAGAAAAGTGGTTTAATCTTGAAGGAAGAATGCATTTTCTCAAGAGAAGATTATCCCGGTTACATCAACAAGAGAGGGGATGGAAGGAGAAGTAATGGAACTTTTCCAGTTGGAAAATGTTCCACTTTCAAATTCAAGATTGCTAATGAAGATTGGATGAAAAACTGAGCACTGGAAAGTGTTTTTAAAGAGATGAAATCAAAGTGTGCTTTGTTAAGGCATATAGAGTTATAGACCTTCAAGTTTGAGTTCATCACAGCCTTGATATTCTGGTAAAAGTAGTTACTAGGTATGTTCTGAGGTAGGGATCATGGAATATAATTGAAAGAAGTTGGAATTTTGTCATGTTTTGATTATTTGTGTACAAAACTCAATTCTTTTTTCTTCTCTGTTTTTTTTTTGAATGTCGAATCTTCATTTTTTCCTTCACTAACTGATAGGATTCCACCAAACTTTCAAGTTGTTGAGGGTTAAACTATGCTATCATGTTTGGTGTTTTAGAGATGTCTTAGCGTACGTTTGATGACGGGGATTGTTCAAATCAGGACTGGGCTATCCCTTAATTGGTGAGAATCCCATTTGATAAAATGTTTGTTACGGGTTTGGGTATAAGAATTGCACATGCCAATAAGTGGGGATGTGGGAATTGTGCGGGGTGGAAGTCCCAAGTTCCAGTGTTTTGTAATTCCACGGAACCCAGAAACTTTGCCAACTAACCAACCCTTTCGCCGAATGATCCCCCGGCTTCAACTGAATGACCAACCCCTCGGCCCAATGTCACACCCTCTGCCGATGACCACCCCAGAAACAAGGTTCTCAGGAATTTCTGATACAAAGGTTTTTGAGATCCCCATTGTCAAATGTAAACTGATTTATTTGCTTTTGAACACAACCATGGCTAAATAATACTTAAATAATGGATCCAAATGTTTCACTCGCAATTTGGCTCTATGGATTGGAAAAAGTTTATATAAGATGACAATCATACCATTTATTTTATTTCAAAGGTGTAGATTTGACACTATCTTTAACATTTTTTGACATGTCTACACCCTTCAACTAAAATAGATGGTGTAGAATTTTGTAAAACTGCTTCTACAAATAAGATACCAAGATAAAGTAGTTTTCCATTTAGGACCCTAAACACAGATAAAAAGTGCTGTCGATGTGGAAATAATAAATAAATTTAAGAATTAGGCGATGCCTTCTTGTTTTGTAACTTTGCATAAGCCTTCCTTTTTATTTTGAGAGTTACCATATTATTATTTAATCAGGTAGGTTTTCTCTTTTTCGAGTCCTTAATTGAGGAAAACCAATATAGAAAACACTCTCAGAGTCTATGAGGCATACAGCATAGTTTCCTAATCCATACACAATAGGCTAATGTTTCAAGTTTGTATATTCTTCTTTATCAGATAGGCTAGGTTTTTGAGGAAGATATTCTATAAAATGACAATGAATTCTCATATAATCTCTACCATTTCAGTTCTCTCTATCTCTCACACACACAAAAGGTTTCTTTCTATCCTGTTAGTTCAAAATAAAGGTACTCTTCTTGGCAATATTAGTAATTTTCTGTTAGGCTAAAGTGAAGGTGGAATTCTTGGCTATATAAGTCATCTGCATTTTTGGACTTGGCCGAGTCCTCTCAGACTCGGCTGAGTAACTTGAACTTGTCTTGGTGACGAGCATTAACATCGAAAATCAAATCCTAAATATACCATAGGTCCACGGAAAACACGGATCCCCTTCAAATTAAAATAGAAGGATATTTAACATCTTCCATACCCTTTTTGATATCTAAATTACAATATTTGCCTTTTCTCTTTTTTTATGACCCCATCATTCAAACCAAATAAAATCTAACCCTCTCTCATATCATCACCAGTTGACTCCTTTCTCCGTCTGTCATTCAACCTTCCTTGAGCCCCATATCTCTCTTTTTTTCTTTCATCTCATGAATCTCACAAGTAGTTTAAGTAGTTTAAACTAGGTATCCCAATCCATTTAGATGATGGAGACTTTAGAAAAAGAAAAAGAAAAAAGAAAAAGTTTTGTAATTTGGACAATAAAAACATTAAAAAAGAGAGTTAAAAATCATTTTCTTTTAACTATGAGGGGATCTATGAACTTCCCATGGGCCTGAGGATTTATTTGGAATTACAATTATAGAGACATAGCTATACATCTTTTTCACTAAAAAGTTTAAGGTGATTTGGTCATGGTTCGGTTGGGGAGGGGGGAGGGCTTGTATGCAAAATGCCATCCTAATAGACAAACCCTTATACAAATTAATGTATGTGGTCACAAATTTAATACAGTATTCCAAATGGGAAAATCTATCACGGGCATCAAGTGTTTGTTGTACTACAAAAAGGCAGGTAATCGGCTATTTGTTCTAACACTCACATCTACACTATCCAACTCGTGATTGGAGTGTGCACAGTGAGCCTCTCGGTAATATGATGGACATATTTTGTATATTTTAAAATTGGGATCGTATATAATGAGACCAGTGTTAGGAAAATCGATTCGGAATTGTTAACCTGACATGGGCTCGGAAGCGGTTTAATCGGTCTACTGGTAAACTGTCCGATTCAACCCTTCTAATTGGGCAATTCCCTGGCGGTCAAAAATTGTTGAAAGAATAAAATTTTTTTTTAAAAAAAACTTAAATATGAAAATCATATAAATAATGATTAAAATAAAACACATTCAAATGAAGTTGAAAATTAATGACAAAAACAATTTTTAATCTTTACCATAATGTAAAGAATATTAAAAAATACATTACAAACCAAATTCCTTGTTTTTGGGAATTTATATACATTTGTTTGATTTTTTTTTTAAATACCGGTTGATCACCAAAACCACCAAAAACCGTAAGGCTGGTTCCAATCTAAACGGGCGGTTAGCAGTTAAATCGCCTGTTTTTTCTAACATTGTATGAGACCATTTACCTTTGATACACGGTGGTCACAATTACTTACAACCATCTGATGTGAAATTTGATAGTTTGGGTGTGTCACAAAGTTCAAGAAAAATTCTTTTCAAGTTTGAACTTGATCATTGGAATAAATGCAGCTACTTAATGTCACATCCAATGGTTAAGTTTAATTGTGACCACCCTATACCAAAAGTAAATGGTCTCATCCTATAGTTTTTCTTTAAAAAATTGCCCTTTTAGGAAATATATGTCATTTTTTAAATGAGAAAGGCTTCTATACTTTTCCTATAGTATAGAAGATCTATGCTTCCCCTACCATCGAGCCGCCTAATTTTGATCAAGACAGCCACTCACTGTTTGATCTTAGATCCGATGTGTCAAAGTATTTTATTTTTAATTTTTTTTATAAAAATTGTATGAATATGAAATTTGGTTCGTCCCATTTTTTTATTGGGGCAAACCTATAAAAAATATTAAAAATAAATTTCCGATAAAATATAATGACCAAAATACCCCTCAAAATTTTCAAAGGTATTTTGGTCATTTTATTTTATTGAAAAGTGCAAGTTTAATAGAGGATTGGACATCCAAAATTTGGTATTAAAATAGTTTATAGAAAAAAATTTAAAACAAAATAGTGTAAAGACGTGACATTGTGATTGGGACAATATTAGCCCTCCATTTAGAATGGACGGTTGGAGAAGGGTGAGTATATAAGTTTTATGCTGCAGGGGAAGCATAGAAAGTTTGCCCTTTTAAAATTTCCAATCCATCCAATCCAGCCAGGTGAGACAGGTGAGAATTGAGATCAACACTGAGGTTTGAACTTTTAGTTGTATATTTAAGTCGCATTTTCAAAAGCATCAATCAAACTATCAATTAGGCCTAGAAGAATTCCAAATCACATTTCTAAAGATCTAATATCCGTATCTTAAACCCTATCTAAATAATAACACGTACTCTTTCTAAGTATATTTAAGTCGCATTTTCAAAAGCATCAATCAAACTATCAATTAGGCTTAGAAGAATTCCAAATCACATTTCTAAAGACCTAATATCCATAACTTAAACCCTATCTAAATAATAACACGTACTCTTTCTAACATTTGACTTTTAAGAAGAATTTTGTTAGAGATGGTGATAGGCAAAACCACTGCCCCCATAGAAATTATACCGTAAGGTTAAAATTGGGCAAAAAACGATTGAAGCCCAAAAAATTAGGACTCTTGGGTACAACTCTCAAGAGATATGCGTAACATCTATGGGATTATGTAAGGAAGGAGAAATATTGAACATGCATGCCTTATTTGGGTCACTTTATAGGAAAGGTGGACTTCATTCTAGAGAAAATTAAGGACCTCTTGCATAGAAAGAAGGGGTGTCTCAAGGAGCCTTTAGAGAAAGAAGTGAGTTTTAGTAAGAGAGACCGTCCATCCATGCCTTATAAAGAGTTGCTTGATTCTTATTGAAAAGTAGTCCCATGGAGAATTTGGGTGGTACTCCTTTTATGGAGAATTTGGGTGATATTCCCTTTGTAAAGAGAGTCAGTTTTCTTTTTTTTCTCTACAAGTCTATCTAGTGTTTGGCAATAGTTACTAGAAGTAAGGAGAAGAAGAATGACAGGTGATGTATGTTAAGAGAGTGATTTCAAGAATTGCATGACCGGGTATATCAATGGTTAGTAAGATACATTTTGTATTTCAAAATATGTGATGTAAGTCTCATCAGTAAAGTGTATTTCAATTTGTCATAACCGTGGATGTAACCACTTGATATGAACTTACAAAAATCTTGTATTCTTTTGGTGTGTAGTTATTGTATTTTAATTTTCTTGCTCACACTATGTTTTATACTCGCCTATTTTGTTCCTAGATAGTTAAAGTACGATCCTAGTAGGATCAAACTTCCGGATTCAAGTTTCCACATCTAAGAGGGTTCTTGAAACCTAAAGAACTTTCTATTATGTAGTGCTATATGTCGACCACACAATGCACAGGATTTGTATTAGCAAAACAGTTACTTAGGAGGATTTTTTATATATTTTTTTAATTTAAAAATTTTGGGATCCACTATATAATAACCAGATGAATATGTAAACTTTTGAGTTCCTAAACACAGATCTACAATCCAAAACTTGACCCTGTTCAATCCAATCTTAAGACGGTCTCTTGTTCAATCTCAAGACGTTATTTTTCTTAGGCACTTCATCTTGGTTTGCCCTATCATACCCAAAAATTGGGGTCGTGAAAGTACCTGTAGGCATGGTCTTGCCTAAGGAATATATGCTCCTGTGGGACCACATAAGTTTTTTGGCTTTTAACTACTGCTCTTGATTCGAGGAAATGCTCGTCATTCTAAGAAAGATATCAAAATGAAG